TACCTGCCGCGGAACTCCTGGCCCCCTAGCTGATCCACCGGATCCTGGCTTGCTGCCGCTAGCTCCGCTGCCACTACCTCCGTTACCACTGTTGCTGTAGCCACCCTTGTAGCCAGAATTTGACGACTGCTTCAGCGCCTTAAGCTGCCTGCAGTCCTTAACCACGTGCCCAGGTTTATTACAGTAGTAGCAGATGACTTGCTTCCGACTATGTCCCGAGCTGTTGTTAGCCGGCCCCCGGCTACCATAACCAGAAGTAGAAGCGCCGAACGTCGAACCGCCGACAGACGCGAAGGCTGCCGACTCGGTAGGCTTGCCCGACCCACCGTTAGCCGTCTCGATAGAAAGAAGCTTTGCTGTGACGCTCGCCATGTCCAAATCGCCGTCGCGCATAAGTAATGTAGTCGTCACCACGCTGTACCGACTGGGTAGACCAACTAGCACGGTGTACGCCAGCTCGGAGTCGTTAACTACGTGGCCGACTCCCAATAAATCTGTTTGCAGCTGCCTTGCACGCGCAAAGTACATCGGAAGAGGTTCGCCGTCGACCATCTTAAAACGGCTGAATTCTTGACGTAGAGACACCTTGCGGGCGTTGTTGTTGGCAGCAAACATAGATCCCAAGGCGTCCCAGGCCTTCTTCGCGTTGGCAGCACCGGTAACCATCGGCAAATGATGATCCTTGACGTTCTTGATGAGCAGATTGATGACCTTCCGTGACTGTCGAATTTGCTCCTCGTTGCACGGCTCGGCGAGCAGGGATTGCTCAAGCCCAAGCTCCATGCACATCGCGCTAAACCGAATTTGCCAGGTAGAGTAGCTGTTGAGATCCAGCGACTCATCAAGCTTGTCCTTAACCATTGTTGATGAGGGATAGAAATAACAATTGGGCGATAACTGTCGGCGCTAATCGGGGCTCATAACCTATTGAAGAATTGGCGACGGTGACGGCTAACGCTGATTGTTATTCCGGAAGGATTGCCGGTGGCGAAGATATTTAGCACGATAAACTGTTACAAGTAATGTAAAGAGTATTATTAGCGTTCGGCAGGACTTGAGGAGATTCCTATGAGGAATACCGATCGTAGTGAGATAAACAAATAAGCGCAGTCACCGCCCTAAATACCGGCGCTAGCGGAAAAACTCGTACATTCCGCGATCTAACTGCACGTACATTCCGCGATCTCATTGCGCCGTCCTGACGGTGCCCTAATGTCTATCACTTAGCTACCGGATATGCATCGGTAGCCCATAAGGTTCTGGGGTAAGTCTTCCCCATTAGACAGGCGCAGACCCGTGGTCAAATCCCCTGGTCGACAACCACACGAGTTGGGAGAGGACCGTTTCCTCAACAAACCCGAACCATTTGGTGAAGGTTCAGGCATAGGTCCACACACATCCATGTGAATGAGTGCGAGAGGCTGTGCTGCCTTATGCCCAGATAATGGAAAAGGACCCCGAGTATGCTTTGCAAGGACGCAAGTCTCACACACACACGCGCTGGCTAATTGTATGCTGTGTCGGTCAACATCGAACCCAGTTACCATATTGTGACGCAGCAACGCCTCAAGGTTGCTGTATCCCAAGTGGCCATACCGTCAGTGCCAAAGTGCTGCACGTTCAGCTCCGATATCCACGGCAGCACACACTGCACCACCACCAGAAGGCATCCTGTTGTCTTCACGCTGCGTCCACTTCAGAGCGCCCGTACCTCCACTGCTGTAGCAGACGGGATACAAGTCCCCATCCCGCTTTCCAGTCAGCACCAACTGGTTCTGTACGTATACTTTCACCTGTCCGCCACCGAAGACCACACTGCCTCCACGATCATCAATGATGCGGACCGATAGGATTTTGGCGGTGGCCTCCTCGTCGACGTAGACCTTCTTAAAAGTGATGGCCTGTTTATCGTTGACGTTAGACCGAATCATAACCGTGCCAACTTTAGTCGGCCGAAGAGACTGTCCCTTGATGCCCATGATGTTGAAGCGCTCCCATGTTGGGTTGGCACGGGTACTATACTAGAAAAGAGTACTATACTATAAAAGTACTATGCATAGTACTATTTACTATGCAGGGCTCTTAACTGGTACTAGTTTACGACGCTCGTACCGCGTTCGTACATAGTAAAATAGTATAGTAAAAATAGTACTAGATAGTATTGAAGAATTGGCGACGGTGACGGCTAACGCTGATTGTTATTCCGGAAGGATTGCCGGTGGCGAAGATATTTAGCACGATAAACTGTTACAAGTAATGTAAAGAGTATTATTAGCGTTCGGCAGGACTTGAGGAGATTCCTATGAGGAATACCGATCGTAGTGAGATAAACAAATAAGCGCAGTCACCGCCCTAAATACCGGCGCTAGCGGAAAACTCGTACATTCCGCGATCTAACTGCACGTACATTCCGCGATCTCACTGCGCCGTCCTGACGGTGCCCTAATGTCTATCACTTAGCTACCGGATATGCATCGGTA